TCCATTGAGAAGTCAGGTGTAATTTTGATAGGTTTGCCTTTATTGGGTTACTTTTTTTTCCTTTGCAGCTCTTTGTATTCTTTCTTATGCTATGTGATTGGAGTTGGGCCAGGGTTTTTTCTTTTTTCTAGTTTATTTGATGTTCTGTAAGTTTCTTGTCCCTTCATAGCCATGTCCTTCTTTAGGTTGGGAAATTTTTCATATATGATTTTGCTGAATATATTTTCTGTGCCTTTTAACTGGAGTTATTCTCCTTCTGTTCATATTATTCGTAGGTTTGGTCTTTGCATGGTGTTCCATATTTCCTGGATAATTTGTACTAGGAATTTGTTGGATTTAACATTTTCTTTGACCAATGAAAATATTTCTTTATTGCATCCTTGATATCTGAAATTGTCTCTTCCTCTTGTATTCTATGCTTGCATCTGTGGTTCCTGTTCACTTACACTGATTTTCCATTTTAGGAATTCTTTTCGTTTATATTTTCTTTATTGCCACTATTTCAATTTTGAAGTCTTGAACTAATCCCTTCGCCTCTTTAATTTTTTTTCTCGGCTTTCTTTAAGTGATTTATTGATTTCTTACAATTTTTTCTTTATCTTTTCTTCTCTTTCTTTATAAGAATTTTTCATTTCTTCTTTAAGGTCTTCTTTCATCTTCATAAAATTATTCTTAAGGTATTTTCTTCTACTTCATCTGTGTTGGAATGTTAAGGTGTTGCTGTTTTAGAACTACTAGTTTCTGGTCATGCCATATAGTTCATTATGTTCTTGAATGAATTCTAATACTGCTTTCTACCCTTCTGTGTTTGGGGTAATTATAGATACACACATTGATTATTCTTCCAATTGAGGCAATCTCTAGCAAGCCAACAGCCAACAACAAAATAAATAGAGAGAAACTCAAAGTAATCCCACTAAAATCAGGAACAAGACAAGGCTGTCCACTCTCTCCATATCTATTTAATATAATACTCAAAGTTATAGCTAGACCAATAAGACAACAAAAGGAGGTCAATGGTGTTAAAAGCCTCAATATTATACAGTAATTGCTCATCCATCTTTTCACAAGTGACTTTTTGGAACCAAGGAATCTGAAAAGGCAAGGCTTTCTGGCATTAATGCTTTGTGAATAAGTGACTGTCCTTTGTGGTAGATTTTTTTTTGCTTTACCTAAACTCCCTTTCTGTTATATATTTGGGAATTAATTACTTAATTCAGAATAGTTTCCCACTGCCAGGTCTGCAATTATCTTTTCCAATAGGCATTTGGGTCCAGGCATAGAACATTCAACTTAAGATATTCGCAGATATCCAAAGACAACAGCTTGGGCAGGTAGTAGTTCTGTGTCCTTGGATGTCTGTATTAACTACCCCACAAATGGACAAACAACCACTGCTAAGAAACTTTAGATTGAATAGGACCTTAAGTGTCTTATGGCCATTTGAACTTAGTCTGCTGAGAATTCTCTTTTCAGTTCAGTACCCCATATTTTAATTGGGTTATTAGAGTTTTAATGTTTACTTTCTTGAGTTCTTTATTTATTTTGGAGATCAGAGCTTTGTCTGATGCAGGGTTGGTGAAGATCTTCTCCCATTTGTTAGGTTGCCTTTTTGTCTTAATGACAGTGTCCTTTGTATTGAAGAAGCTTGTCAGTTTCAAGGGGTCCCATTTATTCACTGTTGCTCTTGTTGTCTGTGCTTCCGGGGTTCTACATAGGAAGTGGTCTCCTGTGCCCATATGTTGCAGACTACTTCACACTTTCTCTTCTATCAGGTTCAGTGTGGTCAGATTAATATTGAGGTCTTTAATCCATTTGGGCTTGAGTTTTGTGCATGGTGATAGATATGAATCTATTTTCATTCATTTTTATCTATTTATTAAAGATTTCTGCCTCCTCCCCGCCACTGCCTCCCATTTCTTTCCCCCTCCCCCAATCAACTCCCCTCCCCTCATCAGCCCAAAGAGCAGTGAGGATTCCCTGCCATGTGGGATGTCCAAGGACCTCCCACCTCCTTCCAGGTCTAGTAAGGTGAGCATCCAAACAGCCTAGGCTCCCACAAAGCCAGTACCCAGTGCCATTGTTCTTGACTTCTCTGCAGTCCTCATTGTCCGCTATGTTCAGTGAGTCTAGTTTTATCCTATGCTTTTTCAGACCCAGTCCAGCTGGCCTTGGTGAATTCCAGACAGAACATCCCCATTGTCTCAGTGTGTGGGTGCACCCCTCGCTGTCCTGAGTTCCTTGCTTGTGCTCTCTCTCCTTCTGCTCCTGATTTGGACCTTGCTACAAGTTGACATCCAGTTATGCCAGCACCATTTGTTAAAGATGCTATCTTTCTTCCATTGTATAATTTTAGCTCCTTTGTCCAAAATCAGGTGTACATAGGTTTGTGGGTTAATATCCGGGTCTTCAGTTCAATTCCATTGGACAACATCTCTGATTTTGCGCCAATACCAAGCTGTTTTCACTACTGTAGCTCTGTAATAGAGTTTGAAGTCAGGGATGGTAATGCCTCTGTGAGTTCTTTTATTGTATAGGATTGTTTTGGCTATCCTGGTTTTTTTGTTTTTCCATATAAAGTTGATTATTGTTCTCTCAAGGTCTGTGAAAAAGTTTGTTGGGATCTTGATGGGGATTGCGTTGAATTTATAGATTGCCTTTGGTAGAATTGTCATTTTTACTATGTTGATCCTACCCATCTAAGAGCATGGGAGATCTTTCCATTTTCTGGTGTCCTCTTCAATTTCTTTCTTCAATGCCTTAAATTTCTTGTCAAATAGATCTTTCACTTTCTTGGTTAGTGTTACCCCAAGATACTTTATGCTATTTGTGGCTATAGTGAAAGGTGATGATTCTCTGATTTTCCTCTCAGCTTCTTTATCCTTTGTGTATAGGAGGGCTACTGATATTTTTGAGTTGATCATGTATCCTGCCACATCACTGAAGGTATTTATCAGCTATAGGAGTTCTCTGGTATTGTTTTGAGGGTCACTTATGCACACTCTTATATCATTTGCAAATGATGAAAGTTTGACTTCTTTGTTTCCAACTCGAATCTCCTTGATCTCCTTATGCTGTCTTATTGCTATTGCTAGAACTTTAAGCACTATTTTGAAGAGGTATGGAGAGAGAGGAGAGGCTTGTCTTGTTCTTGATTTTAGTGGAATGGCTTTGAGTCTCTCTCCATTTAATTTAATGTTAGCTGTCGGCTTGCAGTATATTGCTTTTATTATATTTAGGAATGATCCTTGTGTCCCTAATCTCTCCAAGACCCTTATCATAAAGGGGTGTTGAATTTTGTCAAATGCTTTTTCAGCAACTAATGAAATGATCATTTGGTTTTTTTTCTTCAGTTTATTTATATGATGGATTACATTGATAGATTTGTGTATGTTGAACCAGCCCTGCCTCTCTGGTATGAAGCCTACTTGATCATAATGTATAATTTTTTGGATGTGCTCTTGGATTCAGTTTGCCAGTATTTTATTGAGAATTTTTGCATCGATGTTCATGAGTGAGATTGGTCAGGATTATTAAGGCAGTGTTCCAGTCCCTTGTGCCAAATGGCTTAGTTAGGGCTTCTATTACTGTGAAGAGACATCATAATCATGGCAACTCTTTTAATGGAAAGCATTTAATTAAAATGCAGCTTACAGTTCAGAGGTTTACTCCATTATCATCATATCAGGGACCATGTCAGCACGCAGACAGACACGGTGCTGGATAAATAGTTGAGAGTCCTAAATCTTGCAGGCAATGAGAAGTAGTCCATGGACTGGGAGATGTTCAATACCTTGAGAATCACTTTGTGGTAAGCTTTGTAACTCAGATGTTAGTTAAATATCTGCTTATATTATTTTATGCATAAGAGTGTTTGCCTGAATGTGTATGAGTACTACATGCACTCAGAACCTGCAGAGATCAGCAAAAATCAAAATATTATCTGGAACTGGAGTTATAGGCAGTTTTACACTGCTGTGTAAGTACTGGGAACCAAATCTGTATCCTCTGCAATTGCAGCAAGTGTGCTTAACCATTTTCAAAACCACAAATCAGTGTGTTTTAAAATTCTGATAAATTTAAAATCTTCCTAAAATGAAATCCTAACTGTAATTGTACTAAAGTTAGTGATGAGAAGTGGCCTAAGGCTTTTGAAATATCACAAAGATTTGTATTTAAATACATATATTTAAATATATATGTGTGTGCATATATAAATGCATATATGCATGTATGTATATATACTGAGCTAATTATGTTATATATGATGTAAAATTTGCTGTGGTACAACAAAATGTTATTTAATCATCTGTGAGTTGGGGAAATATAAGGCAATAGTGGGTTTTCCAGACATTGATAGATTCCTAAGAACCTAGTTAGCCAAGTTACATTATTATCACATGTATTTATTTGCAATTATATGGGGAGTCCTAGACAAGAAAAAAATTGTAGGCCTCAAAATAATTTCTGGTGGACTTCAAGTGTTTTATCCTTTAAAGTTTTATCTTATGGCCTATTTTATAGAATCCATGTAGGCTTTAATAAAGTACTGTATGTACTTTGGAAGACAATCTTTTGGGAACATGAATGGAGAAAGTATAGTGTATTACAGGAAAATAATTTGGAAAAACAGATTCATAACCTATAAAAATGAAATTCATTATTTTATAAATACTAAGAATGTCTATTTTAAACTTTTCTTCCCAATTATTCTCTGTTTTCTGTTTCTCTGAAAAGAAGAGTAACAGTTGGAGTTTTATGATATACATACAAAATGTATGTATAAGTACATATATATTATGTTTATACAAATAGTTTTGTATTAGAAGACAGTTGTGGCTGTGATCGAATTTTTTCATTTGTCAGATTGTGTGTGGATGTAGGAAGATAGAAGGTTAGAAGCATCTATGTTATAGGTTCCTGGGTGATCACAAATTGTGTCTTAGGTTTGTCAAGTTCCAGATCAGCCTACACCCATAAATAGAGACAAGAGTCAGAAATGGTATGCTTATGATTTTATTGTTATTAAAATGATAGATTATGGCCACATTATTCCAGTTGCCCAATCCACCAAAGCCAGTATTTTCTTACTCATTATCTGAAAGAAACAAATACAAAAGAAGTTATAAAGAAATCATAACTAGATGAAGTTTCTCATCCCTTTCTAACACCTTTAATGATGTAGATAGAAGTCCATGTCTTTTTTCTCTTTCTGTACTCTTTTTCCCTTTCCTTTCTGGTTATTTTTATTCATTTTTGTAACCATTTAGCACATGATGCACTCTGAAAAAAAAACGAGCCAAATATATTTTATTGGATATATGGCTTTAGCGAGAATGCATTTGATATTAAAATGGTGAGTAGGTGAATAAGGCATGTGCATATAATCACAGCACTTGGGAAGTAGAGGGAAGATGATTGGAATTCAAGGGTATACTTGGCCACACAGCAAGTTTGAAGCCAGCCTAGTGTATATGAACTTTATCTCAGAAACTCATTTAAACTATAATACATATGTATAAATTTGGGTCACTAAAGCAAATTTTATACTAGAGAAAAATAAAAACCATTTGAAAGTCCATTGACAGGATATAAAACTAACCAAAGACAGCAAGAGCCACAGAAAGTTATGGCTCATTATTGCAAAAAACCAAAACCATCATGGATATGAATACAAGCACGCTGTCTCTATGAACTATTGTGCATTTTTTAAAAAAATTAATTAATATAAGGGTACTATGAAGATAAGAAAATGTCTGTGTGTGTTTCTTTTGTTTAATATGGAATACTTCACAAATTTTTGTGAAATCCTTGCACAGAGGACAAGCTAATCTCATCAGTATTGTTTCAAATTTTAGGATATGTGCTGTTGAAGCAAAGATGTGTGTTTATTTCTGATAAACTGTTGAACGATTTAGTGGAAGCCTTTATTGATGGGGATGGGGAAGAGGAATGATAACTTTTAAAAGTTAACTTGATCCCTTGATTTCTCATTCATTTATATTTCTTATTCTGGTCATAGTCGGTGGGGTTTCTGGCATGAGCAACAAGGCATGAATAACATTTATGAATAACATTGTACTTCTTGAACAAACAATAAAACTCATGTTGTCAAGCATGTATACACATTGTTCGTCACAATCACAATAACTTGAGCAGTATACAAAATATTAATCATCTACCTATATCACCACAGATTAGCCAAATAATGTAATATTTAAAAATAGTAAAGATCCAAAGAATAGTAATATTAATGAGAACCTAAATTATGTGGTATAAATGTGATTAAAGTTGAGTTAGCACAGCTTGTGTTTTCAAAACTATAAGAAATGAGATGCTTCATTAACAGTGAAATAAAATCCTACCTAATAATGTATCTTTGATTACTCAGCATCCTGGTCCTGGGAAGATTCTTGAGGTCTGCCTCCCTGTTGGGGTGAGCCTTGCTGGGTTCCTTGCTGAGGGCCTTGGTTCTGCTGTTGGCCTCCTTGCTGGGGTGGGCCTTGCTGGTTTCCTTGCTGAGGGCCTTGGTTCTGCTGTTGATCTCCTTGTTGGGGTGGGCCTTGCTGGTTTTCTTGCTGAGGGTGTTGGTTCTGCTGTTGATCTCCTTGTTGGGGTGGGCCTTGCTGGTTTCCTTGCTGAGGGCCTTGGTTCTGTTGTTGGCCTCCTTGTTGGGGTGGGCCTTGCTGGGGTGGGCCACGTTGGGGTGGGCCTTGCTGGGGTGGTCCACGCTGAGGTGGGCCTTGCTGGGGTGGGCCACGTTGGGGTGGGCCTTGCTGGGGTGGTCCACGCTGAGGTGGGCCTTGTGGGGGTGGGCCTTGTTGGGGTGGGCCTTGCTGGGGTGCACCATGCTGAGGTGGGCCTTTTTGGGGTGGGCCTTGCTGAGGTGGGCCTTGCTGAGATCTGCCTTGCTGTGGTGGGCCTAGCTGAGGTGGACCATGCTTAGGACCCAAATCATGGTGACGAGGAGGACCATGGGGGAATGCTGCAAAGAGGGATTAGAATCTGAGATGCTGACTCACGTTCTTTATTTGATACATCACAAGAAGTGGCAAGTTTAGTGCTGAAACAAATGCCCTCTTTCCTTTTATCAACAGCTCAATGATTACTACATTGTTCCTCCTACTCATTTGTGAGTCATCCTCCTGATCCTTTCCACCTAGTTTTGAGGGAAATTATCTCTGAATACATGTATTTATGGTATCAAACATTGAATCTTTATGCTTGGAATAGAATTTAAGATCTTAGAAAACTAATTTTTCAGTCATCATTTCCATGGACAAGACTGAAACAAAACAGAATTTTAAAATTATTTGACTATTCTATTCAGAAATGTCCCTATGTCCTTTCTTCTGTTACACATTCACTGTGGCAAGATGCCTGTTATCGACTGACTACTTCATTACAGGATATTAAGTTGGCCTTCTTTCTGTGAATCTTCCTGTTTGATCCTTCTCAACACAGAGAAGTGACTCTAGAGATCTAGCCCTACTTTTTCAACCTTCTGTTCCATCCCCTAATCAAATTTTTATTGCACATGACAACATTCAATTCCTGTTTGGAATGGTAATTTGAACACAATACTTTGGTACTGATTCTACATTCCTGCCTTTCTGCTAATCTTCTTCTCCCTCTCTGCATCTTGCAGGAACGACATGATCTGTTACCTAAATGCAGATTCACTGAACAAACAACCATTTCTGTCTTACCTTCACTGAAGCTCTGAACAGAGTTCAGGGCTAGCAAGGCCGCTGTGAACAAGACAACCAGCATCTTGGAGTCTCTGGAGTTTCTTCTGAGTCTGTGCTGCATGCAGTGTGGTACCTGCCTTTATATGACCCATCAGAAGAATGGTGCCTTTGATCCCATCCTGGGTGACCTCATATTTGACAAAGTAGGAAATACTGCATCCTTGACTCCTCTTTGGGAGTTCTGCCAGATAGTATAACATGAGGCACTGGCAACATGTCTTGGACTAAGAGCAGATGAAGCATGGCTATGATGTTAATATCTATATTAAAATATTGCCATTATATGAATTTCATTGTATTTGGTATACAGTTCTTATATAAAGTTATGATAGTGCTGAGTCATACTTTTTTAAACATAAAGATGCTTCATATCTTTAGCCTTCATTTTCATCCATAGATCACCAATTATACTGTAACTATGGGTCTGATATATTGTTGTATTTTCCATGACAAACACATCATTTATGTTTAGATAAGATGCATTCCCTGCCACCTCATTTATTCAGAACCACAAAGACTATACAAAATCCCTAACGTGTTATTTGAAATGGGAAACACTTGGAGCCTTACATTACCAAAATATTTTATTCTTTGGGTGTGTGAGATTTTGAGTGATTGTTTCTCTCGTGTGTGTGTTGTGTGTGTGTGTGAGTGTATGTGTGTTTGTGTGTGTGTGTGTGTGTGTGTGTGTGTGTGTGTGCTTGGGTGCTTAGGTACATTTCTTTACAGGCCTGGTAAAGTATGGACAGAAGATAACTTTGATTGCAGGTACTCAGATCTTTCTTTCTGTGCTGTATTTAGAATTATATATCTCATTGGCAATAAATAATCATGTCGAGATACTATTGGCTTACAAGTCTCCAAGCAAACAAATAGTTCCATCTCCTAGATCATATTTGTTGGAATTTTTGCAATATGTCTTTCTAAATAGCTTTTTACTTGGATTCAGGAAAACAGAATATTGTGCTTATAGCCAGAAGAAAATTCCATTATTGATTGAGCCATCTCCACAGCTCTTAAAGCTTCTAATCTTCTTAACAATAATACTACAAAAAGTGGCATGGTTTTCTACAATGCTTAAGACAAATGCACAATTTCTTGACCATGCCATTTCATGTTTCTGAGATTTTGACAGTCAAATTTCTTTCCAGAATGTTCCATATAACTGGGCTTATACCTTCTCACTTTTAAGAAATATTTTCAACCACTACCAGTAACCAATGACTAGCCATGATTGTAGAATAGAATTAGGTATTTGGCTATCAACAGCAAATTTAAATCATATAACATTTTTGTGCTAACTCCTCATATGATCCTATGCTCCTTTCTTAGAGTGGTCAACACTGAATATTTTCTCTGCTTCATGTTGATATTAATTCAATTCCAACATCTATTTTAACATAAACTACTAGGGGTTTGGTTTTTTTTTCTTTTTCTATGTTTGTTTTGGGTTTTCTTTTTTCCCTTTCTTTCTATATTCTTTTTCTTCTCTCTCTCTCTCTCTCTCTCTCTCTCTCTCTCTCTCTCTTTTGTTTTTTTTTTTTTTGACAGCCTTTCTCTGAGTAGTTTTGAAACCTGTCCTGGAATTCCTTCTTTAGAAATGATGCCCTCAAACGTAGATAGATGGACCTGTCTCTGCCTCCACAGTGCTGCGACTAAAGGTGTGCACTACCATTGTACAGCCTGATCTACTATAATTAGAAGTAAGTGCTTGAACATTTTTCCTTGTGGAATTTCCAACTAGCTTTTATTTTCAGATATTACAAGATTTTTTTTTTTTTAAATTCGAGACACGGTTTCTCCGTAGCTTTTAAAGACTCCAAATCCTTATTATTTCTATTCTTCTGTATGTTGCTGAATTTTTATTTAAAATTTGGTTACAAAATGTCATTACATTTCTAGCCAACTGACTTTGTTTACTGTCTTTTACTGTGGGTCTATTTTGTTCAATCCGAAAATAGGCAGTTCATCTTAGACAAACATTTGTTCATCCAGACACCTGGTGTACCCAGACAGCCTGAAAATGTGAGCCAATTGCCATGTTTTCCAAAGGCCAGAGATTTGGAACTTACTTCTAGTTCTTTCACAGTTATTGTGGCCTTTTTGTTTGTTTTGGTTTTGGGTTTTTGGTTTTCTCTGTTTGACAGCTCTTGCTGTCCTGGAACTCGCTCTGTGTACAAGGCTGGCCTTGAAATCATGGAGATCCTCCTGCCTCTGCCTCCCAAGTGCTGGGGTCATTGTGTTTCTACTTCAAATGAAGTTCCCACAAAGATATAGGTCAGAGACTTCTGCTCTTTGAAGGGTATTGTCAACAGGTATGGCTAATTAATTCCTGTACTTCAGGAATAGAGAAATAGATATGTTTCTACCTCATACAAAAGTCTAAGAATCCAACTAAGATTCCATTTCCCTTAAAATAGTAACTTTGGATTCCACCCAGGGAGTAGTTTGCCTACAGAATGTCTTGATCTAGGGTGTAAGTTTAATTTGTTTTGTTCTAGCAACAGAATGATTAACTATGAATGTTGCCCACAACCTTCAACTGGTATGTTCATTCCCTTGTATCATGATAATGTAGTATTTTGTCTTGCTCTTACCTTTTGTGGTCAGGGGTAGTTTAAGCAATTGGAAATTAAATGCAGTTAAATTTCAATACTCACCGGAATCCTCTCCCAATACTATCCAGTATGTTCCTCCATTTTATTATTTTCTTTCACATCTTTATATTCTTTACTAATATTTTCAAAATCCCTGTGTCTTAACCTTGGCACTAAGAATTTTTGTCATGGTTGGTTTTCAACACTGGTCTTTTCACTTCACACTTTTATTGTTCATTTTCATACAAAATTGGTTTCAGTTTTTGTTTTGTTGAGGTAAATTATGGTGTAGGGTCATGGCAGTTCAAAGCCAATCACCTTCTTATGTGCAAATCACTGTCCACTCTATTATGCATTTAGTTATCTGTTAGCTTTCCATTCCTGAGATTTCAGGAAGGTTTTCTCAGTTGAGTTTTTACAAGAAAAGTGGTCTTGGAAGGGAATAGATTATGATGTGGCAATTCTTCCAGGCTAAATTAAAATCTGATAAGCTCATGTCATTGGATGCTGGATATAGGATAGCATTATTTGGTCCTGAAATTTCCTCAATTTATTACCATAACTATTTCTGATTTTGCAAATCCAGTATAGTCAGAATACCAGGATATTGGTCACCCAAATGTTTACATATAGATAAATTTGATGTAAGATAGTAGCAGAAGAAGGAGGACCATGCTCACCAGTGATTTGGTGTTAAAGTGACATCTAGGGAAGAGTCATTTTGCCCTATGCTAATTCCACTATATAACACAGTTACCAGCATTTCCCTGACCTTCTTCAGTGTCAGCAAAGTGTGAAAGAGATTAATGTATCCCAAGAAAAATATCACCTATGACCAGAGGTGATGGAACACCTAAGAGCAAATAATACCACTTAAAGGTGGCTCTGGGAAGTCATAAGTAACCCTGTAGCAAGACTCAAGGCAAATGATGTGTGGGGAACATCTTATGTATCCACTGGTCTTATAGTTATAGTATGGGCTCAACAACTAATATTCTTCTGGTTGGTCTTGATTTCTATCCACTGAAACTTCTGGTCCTCATATTAATTAATTCTTAACTCCACCAAATACCCCAGAAAAATCTAATATTACCTAATGACAGGGATGTCTGGCTGCCTGGAAAGTCACCCAAAGTTTTTCTGCAACATTGTGCATATATATCTTTGATCTACATGCCCTGTATATCTGACAGTCATTTTTGACAAGCAGGTAATTTCAATGAACTGTCATACCTTATCTTGACAAAGCTTGTCAGTCACTTTCCTTTAGGTTCTGTTTATATAATTTGGAAAACACACGGTCAGTACTTGCAGCAAGGACATTTTATTTTTTAAAAGGCTAGCTTTTGCTACAAAAAAAGTAAATTCCACATGGAGGTTTCTTGATGTCCATCATCTTCTCTGAAGTAGATTGGTGCTGTCAGGAGCAAACATGTCTCATGGTCATGAAAGGCCTCAAAGTTATTAAACATCTTATGTGCCATATACTCTATATCTTTGATGTGTTTGAAGACTATCTATCTCCCTAAGCATACCTACTTAACCTTGAAAACATACCTTATATGACTGGCAACAAAACTGTTTACCATAAATGACAAACTATTAACCTCTATTTATTAATTATATAGTACATTCTCAATAAGACAAATAAGCACACTAACCCAAGCAAGAGTTGAAACATGCATACTTGATACAAAAAAAATAAACTTAAATTAGTATCACTATACAAAGGTCCATACCAATGTGAAATATTTAAAACTAACGTTGCTTTTGTAGTTTAAAAATAATATTCTAACCTTTTATCCTGTCATTTCTCTATTCCCCCTTCTTCTTTACAGAATAAGATCTCTGGACCTTCTATCCTTATCTCAATCTTTTTTTCTTGGGATGTTACCAACAATAACTTGTAACCCCCAAGGAAATGATGAAAAACTTCCATAGCCCATCTTTTGGGGATATGTGCACTGCTCTTTCTAAAAGATTTTTTATTTGTTAGTGCTGAAATCTTTGAGGGATCCTGAAAAAAATAAGGACAATGGTTAATTCCTTCCTGAAGTAGTCTGTAAGGGTGAACCATCTCAGGTAGCAGCCTTTAGCTTTCTGAAAGCAGAATGCTGAGGAAGCTGTAACAGATGTGCTCTGGGTTGTTTTATCACCTGAGACATCTATTTTTATTGTTGTTTGATTCAATTTTTCTGAAAACATATAAACTTTTAAATGTAACATGCATATCAGTACTAACATAAGTCTGGGATGTGTGTTTGTACAAGTGAGTTAAAGATAATGTATTGTTTTATGTTTGACCAGGTAAAATATACATTATGTGTCTTTTAGGTTTTTTTTAATTTATTTTTTAAGTCTGTAGCCAGAATTTTAAAAGGGTCTTCCTGGATCATACACAATTCTTTTTAACTCTAATTGAATCCGCAGAACCTTTTGATTTTTTTGAGGGGAAGGGATACAAAAACATAATGTCTTCCTCAAAGCAAAACACATTTTGACATCCATTTTGAATTAAAGGCATTTTTCGAAGTATAGGTTGGTTTGATCAAGCACCCTTTGCCATCCAGTGTTTCTTAGCAGCTATTATTTATTCATCTGCAATCAAAAATTCAGACAATAAAATAACATATTAGATATATACATATATGTATTTTATGTGGATTTTTCTTTATATTATTTTATTATTTTTTGAAAAATCTTATTTTATTATTTTTAAACTCTTTCTATGACTATCTGCTTTTTTTCCTTTCTTAAGACTATGTACATATTAAACACATTTTAACCTGGTTAGAGCCTTTTTTTTTTATCTGAAGCAGTAAACATTTTGTCCATGAGCGAAACTTAAATGACTGTGCAACTCTGTTCATGGAATGAAGGTGGTTGGCTCCACACCCCAGAGCCAAGAAAACATAGGAATGCCAAATGTTTTCTGCATACACAGTGGAGGAATTCTATAAACACAGTTTTTGTGGTCTCCCTAAATGCTCTTCCACTCTCCAGCCCCAGAGTCAACTTCCATCACATAATCATCAATCTCTTGTTTTCTGCTCAAATTGTATCCATGCCCTGTTGTAGAATAAATATGGCCTGACTGGTCCATGGCCACTTTTGTGTAGACTGGACTGCATTAGCATGCACACTAATGACTTCCCCTTGGATCAACTTGGAGTTTTTCACCATGCTTGTCGATTACTGATGTGGGGAGACCTGATCCATGGAACCAATAAAAGGAGGCCAGCACCACAGACTCATTCACTGACTTCCATGGGGCACAGTGTGTGTGGAGGGGTGGTATAGGCAAGCATGATTTCTGTAGTAAATGAGTGTGCAGCTACGTGATTCACTATTCAGCCAACTTCCAATGTCTGTCATTGACTCTGCACCTTTTGCCTCTCTCCGTCAAGGTGTGTCCAAGCAAAATCATGTCTTCATTTGGGGTTCATGGATTTTGTACAGTCATTGATATTGACCGCACTTAAATCAGGTAAAATTTTTTGATGGTTGTGAGTGTTTTAGGGTCCAAATATTTGCTATAAAGAGTGTCTGAAGTATCTGCTATCTTCCATTTTTGATATGAAAATACTGTCGACTAATACTTCTTCCCCACAACTCACATTTGAAGAACAGAGTCTCATCAAACAGACTGAAGTTCAAATTATATCAAGACTTTACTTTGAATATGTGTGCTAGTATCTCACCCAATACTACTTCAACAGTATTATTCAAGCCACACATTATATCTTTTAGAAATAAAACAAAGACAATTTTTCTTCCCTTCCTAGTTTATGGGTCAAGTCACAAGAGAAGTCATGGATTCAAGGTATCCTGTTTTCCAGGGGTGAAATCACTCTGTAGGGAACTCAAAAGTACCATTGTTCTGCTCCTCCCTATAAGGAGAACTGCTGCTGTTTTGTTCTCTCTAACACGGACCTGAAAGAAACTCCAGAGCCTACTCCAAGATGCTTGTGGTCCTGCTGACAGTGGCCTTGCTGGCCCTGAGTTCAGCTCAGAGCTCAAGTGAAGGTATAAGGAAAAGGGTTGGAGTGGAGTTTTGTCTGTAAAAAAAACCAGAGAGGGCAATGGAGGACACCAATATTATTGTCAAAGAATTATATATACTGAGTAGGTAGTCTTGTTATAAAATGGGTTCAGGACAGATGGAGGAGATAAATATACATCAAAACTGCTAGAGAGACAGAGAATCAGATAGCAAGGCCTGACCCTTTATACGTAAAAATAGACACATTAAGACCCAATTTGTTCATTTTTATTTTAACAATTGGGAAATTAATTTCATACATGCATACTCTATTTACATTGTTTCCATTCCTGCCCTGCTCCCTCCAATTCCTTACATGTTTCTCCCCTACTCTTTCTCCAGTCCACGACTTCTTTATTATTGTTAAACACGTCTGCACACACACAAACACAAATAAGTCTACAAAGCACTGCAGATGGCTTTAGGGCTAAGCATTGGATAAAGGCATTTACCTTTAGAGAGAGCTGATTCTACCTTCCTAAGCAGCCATTCATTGCCTGTAACTCTTCGCCTAGAAGGTGGGTTTTACTCCTACTTCCAATCAGAATTTCAGTGTGCTATAGTAGCACATGTGACATGGTATAGATGTTTATTTTTTTATTTTCTTCTTGGGAAAACTTACTAATATAAGTAAAGGAAATAATGAAGAAAATGGGTAATGATACAGCAAAACTTGGCCTTGAAATAAACATATAAAATGCTAGCAGTGAGTTTGGAGGGATTATAAGAGGATGAAAAGGTTTGCTCTGTCTTTAGGCAATTGGTTGAGATCCACTTTGTCCATCACACTGCTGTTCTCTTGCTGTATCTTTTTTTCTTTTTGAGTACATTTCAGAGTGTGGCTGACAAGATCACACACACAGCTTATGAATGCAAGTCAAATCTCCTTACCAGATGTTTTTGAGTTGAAAAAAAAATTGCTTAAGTTTTCTTATAATTTCATTTTTTTAAAAAAAATCCAGAACATTATTTCAATGAAATTAGTGATAAGATGCATATTATTTCATAGATGTTAACTGCGATGGTACTTTGTTCCTCCTCTTAAGAGTACTCTGTACTCCTCTTAGGAGTTTTTCAAGTTCTCCAAAATCATATTATAATCATTTAAACTTTTTTAGTAACTAATGGATGAATGTTCTTTACCTCTACTTCTGGAAACCACCAATTTGAGTAACAGTTCTCGTCCACTGCTGAGAGATGGCTCCCAAGTGAAAAGTGTACGTACTTTTACTTTTCCACATCACTAAGATTTGTTGAACTGCTTCATTCTTCCTCAGTATTCCCCTCAAGAATGAAATGTTTTTTTTTTAAATGAACAGAAATTCCTTTTCATGACCCCTTTCTCTAACTAACTGCATTCCTGATAATATGGAACAATATTCAGTGTGAATATTAAGAGAACATGCTAGAGGAAATTTCTCATCTTCTTTTGTTCACTGTGTATTTCTGTGCATTTTTAGATGTTTGAATAACTAGCTTTCATTTCAATTCATGGTTCAAGTACTGAGACTAGGCTTCATTGGAAGTCTTTGCCCACTTTCTTTCCTGGAATTATAATTCATATAATCTAACATTTCAGTTTTGATAAATTTAAGGTTCTTAGATACAGATTTTACCACATCATCAGCACATAAAACAATATTCAAGACCAGGAAGTAGACATGATAGTAGTTGGCTGCTGAGAAAATGTTCTAGACAGGTAATGTGTGATGGCATCAGAGAAATACAAAGGGAAGTCTTCCACAATTAGTTTCATATATTCTGCACCCTGTTTCATATTTACAGAGTCTGGGGATCAAGACGAGTACATACTTTTGAGATCACCTCCTGGAAGACACTCACTTAAATCCTCTGTTGGAAGTGAAAGTCAAGAGGGAACACTTTACCCAAGACCACCCCCTGATGGAGGCAGACACTTACCTTCTCTCCCTCCACTTCCCTACAAATCACCCCATGGTGGAGACAAACACTCCCATTCTCGCCATCTGCCACCACACCATGAACAAAGACCACCCCATGGTGGAGGTAACCAAACACAACATTGTCCATCTCATCCTGACCAAGGAAATGAAACACAGCCTCGTCTCCCTCAGCCTGACCTACACAATCAGACACAGCATAGTCCTCCTCGCCCTGACCTAGGCAACCAGACACAGCCTCTGTCTCCTCTCCCTGAGCTAGGCAACCAGACACAGCCTTGTCCTCCTCTCCCTGAACAAGGAAACCAGACACAGCCTCTCCCTCCTCTCCCTGACCTAGGAAACCAGACAGAAACTCGTCCTCCTCTCTCTGACCTAGGCAACCAGACACATCCTCGCCCTCCTCGCCCTGTCCTAGGCAACCAGACACAGACCACCCCAGTATGGAGGCAATCATACTGGAGCTGATTACTCTTGTCCTGACTGCTGAAGCAGAGTACCACAATGAGATATGTAATTAGATACAACCCCAGTAATTTCATCCATAGAAGTACCACTATCTTTCCAATATGTTAAGTGACAAAGGCACAGATACAACTACTTTGCTAAGCTAAATTTAGTCTCCTTTAGAATTATGCTTTATTCATAAGCAAACATTTTAGTTCCTACGCTTTCCATATATACAGAGCTCCAAAATGAATTGGGAACGGGTGAAACAATATGGCCACAGTATACATATTGCTAAGTGTTTTTACTTCAATATTTTCTTTTCTTTTTAAAAGTTCTTCCAATTTTGAGTTTTCTGGAGTTCTGTTTCAATGTGTCCTTTTCTCCAGTAATATCATTTCTTTTATTGCTTGGTTCGGGGATCCTCTGACTCCTCTGAGGCCTCCGCTCCAGGGTCTTCCCATCTCATGCTTCCACCTGACAATCTGTTGTTTCACACGAGTACTCAGGTTCAATATCCCTGGTAAATGACACTCAAGTCTATATTTCTATGTATCTTCTAGACTTTCAAATGCTTACTTGGTTCATTGAACCAATTTCAACCTGAAAATAAAATAAAATATTAATCTAAGAGCAAAGAGCGACACGCTGCTAAATTTAAAAAGTCTGTCTTATTTTATATTTCACCATATCCCTCACTGAAAACCTTCTTTGGAGTGACTTTTTTGATAACCATCTTGGAAATGTTAAAGCATCAGTTTTCTCTATAAATTATAGGTAAAAGCCCTTTGCTGCCCATTTCAACCAATATGTTTCTTTAAAAACTCCCATATCAGTTAATTGAACATTAAACTCTTATTAGTAATTTTATGATTTCATTTTTCTCCCTTCCCAACTCTCTTCTTTTTCTCTCTAATTCATTGTTTCTATTCTTCTCAACCTCTTTCTTTCTATTTCATTTTCACTATTTTTGTAAGTGTACATCCTCCATTATGCAGTCTTGCCATAGTAATTTAATTAAGCCCTGTTCAAAAATGTTTGTGTGCCTCTCAATGTCACTATTATATTTAAAAAGGACCACTTTGTAAATATGTCCCTTTTCATTTTCAATAACAGCTGAAAGACAAATTAACTAAGAATAGCTTTCATTTACTCATGGTATAAGTTACAGTTTAAAAAACACAATGTGCTAGGTTCCTAACAAGAATAAATAAAACACTATTAGGAAAAAAGAGGAGGAAAGGAGAGGAAAAGCCATAAAGTCAGGCTTCCAGCTATTCTTGTTAGTTAATGTAGCAAGAAGAAAAAACCTTTTGCTATGACAATCCATATGTATGATCTTTTACTGTTGGGTTTTGTTTGTACACAGGAAATGAGAAAATAACATTCAAAAGTTATGTCACTCAAGCTGTGGATGGTGCTGTGCATTTTTCATCCCAACACTCAAGACTAAATTCAAGATCGGCCCATGCCACACACCAAGACCCCATCTCATTTATATACAAATTAAAGAGAGCATATCACTTGAAGCATAACTTCAGCTTCACAATAAACAGCCAGCATGCAATTTCTTTTTGTGTTGTCTCTTTTTCTCATGGATGGAGGGTAGTATGCCTGAGGACTATGAATACAAAATCAGAGCATCCATGGCTCTATTTTGTGGGTGCTTTTGGTAAGCTTCTCTTCCCCCTTTACCCATAAGCCAAGTTTCATCTGAAATACCTGGGTTTCTCTGCATTCTACAGAACAAAAATTGCATAAATCATTGTCATAGTATTAATTATTAATGCTTTCATAATTTTAAAGAAATAAGGAATAAATAGCATGCAAAACAATGATCCTTATAATTTCTATAGTTGAGTCAAGTTTCATATATGAATATGGTTGCAAACTGATTCTCTTATGAATCATAACACTGATTCACACCTCTGACTCTTTAGAGGCATCCAACATTTCCTCTTGGTCCTTTCTTTGGTTTAGCTTGATTAGTGCTCTTATGCTCTCTTGCTCTCTCTCTCTTTTTTTCTCTTTCCTCCTCTGTCCCTCTCTCCTAGTACCATCTTCCTGGTCTGATTTTCTTCATGACCATACTTTATGAAAGTCTACCCAGATGTTCCTTTCTGTGTTTCCAGACACTTCTAGGATGTCATTAGATGGCAATCTAAATTCAGATTATAAAGAGTAAGTGACTGTATAGTTACTATTTCAGCAGCAGTAAACTTCTCAAATCTAAGTTTGCACTAATCTATACTTGGACAAGAACAGGGAGGTATTTCAGAAAGCTACAAAATCTGTCCTTGCCACACCAGGGGCCTGGGGTGGGCCCACAGTCTTTATTCACAGACTCCAGTAACCTGTGTTGCAACATTGCAAATTTATCCTTTGCTCTGGAAGCAATCACCTGAAAACAGCTACCTCTAGGTTGCTATACAATCCTGTAGCTACACAGGTCACAACACTGTGTTGCTTCCTGAAAAAACAACCCCCACACCAGTGAGGGACTGCAACCATCCCTGGTTCAAATGGCTGGAGTAAATGTTCATAGAATGTGATTCTGTGACTCCCTTTGACTCTCCGACTGCTCTAAAAGCTAAACCACAGATTTTAGTTCACAGTGGGAGGTTTCAGCATTTGTCCTCAATTTGACCTTCCTGACTATGACTGCCAATTCAAAATATCCTGCCGTCAGTGGAATCTTGTTTAAAAATATGCTGAGCAAGGTTGTAATAGTGTTAATGAAGGCAGACACTAACCTTGGTTGAATCTAAGACCCAGAGGTTCAGAAACCTGCATAGTGTAAAAGTTAATACTTCAGAAACCTGAAAATAATGCAGGCAAAAATTGTAAGAGGGTGCCAGCCTAATGTTCTTTTTAAAAGATATGATTTGGGTATAGTAGTCTCTAGTTGGTGAAGGTGACACTGAGCCACAAATAAACCTTCACAGCAACCTTCCATGCTGTGTTTTCCATCAGGCAGAAGTCTCTTTCTTCAGTCTACCCTGTCCTGTGAAAGCTAGGGAAGAACAGTAATGGCAGACCCTTGGCCTATAGTCTATTGTAGTTCCAGGAGCAATTTCAGTAGTAGGTTGCAGTGCAGGTTAAGGCCAGGGAAGGGATGCCATGGATCTCTGTGGAAGTGTTTTTTTTTTTTTAAATTAGACCTTGCAGTAGACTTAAAACCAGAGTTGGCAAGTAATTACTTTTATTTTACACATGTACCAATTGTGTCTCAGATGAGCTGTGTGTTTTTGGAGAAGTAACATGATCATTTCTCTGCTTTTTAGATTTTTTAGTCATTCTTGACAGTGATTGCCTGTATATCTGAAATTTTATTTCTTAGAATGGGTTCAATGTATTTTTATTAATTCACTAAAATCAGAGAACATAGCTTCTCACCTGCTTTTCTTACCTGTAGTGGAGAAAATTTTGTATAAGGATGGTTGTTCAACTTTTGTGAGTAAAGGGCTGCCAGAGGATCTTAGAGGTCTGAGTATCCCTTTGTTTACAATGTGGTTAGTTTTGCCTTCGTGATGTGGGAAGGTCATTTGTCAATCTTTTGTTTCATTGGTTAATCAATAAAGAAACTGCTTGGCCTGATAGGTCAGAAAATTAGGTAGGTGGACTACACAGAACAGAATGCTGGGAAGAAGGGAAGTGAGCCAGACGCCATGCTTCTCTTCTCTGAACCAGATGCGATGAAGCTCCAGCCTAAGATAGACGCAGGTCAGACATGCTGAATCTTTCCTGGTAAGCCACTACTTTGTGGTGCTACACAGATACTAGATATGGGTTAAAGCAAGATGTGAGAATTAGGCAAGACGAGGCTAGATATAACGGGCCAGGCAGTGTTAAAAGAATACAGTTTCCATTTTATTATTTTGGGCATAAGCTAGCCAGGCGACCGGGAGCCGGGTGGCAGGAACGCAGCCCACTGCTCCTTTCTAAACCTTCATGCCTCCAATTTCATAAACACATAAAGATGTCCTCTTCTACAACTGATTTTTCTCACATGGCCTACAACTATTTTTGTCAGACATTCCAAGTTCCTAGCATTAATCATTTCCTAGTTTTCTTTGGATTAACCCTCTTTTGGAACTGTTGAAAGGAGATCTGATATCAACTACATTGTGTGGCCTCCCAGGGCTTCCTGTGAAATCTAGGCATAAGTCTCTCTGACTCTGTAACATTGCATTCTGCATGTCCACAAAACCAGTGTCACGTGTATGATGCAAATTCAACTTTCAAGTAAAGGCCTCTGGGACCACAAGACCACACCTGTAAAATTGTATGCTTAGGAATCTGAATTTGAGAAATATCTTGTTAAGGATTTAGTGTGGGATATGTTTCTGTGTGCTGTGAATACATTTTATTACCATTGGTTAATAAAGAAGCTGATTTGACCAATAGCCAGGCATAATAGAGTCAGGTGTAAATTCAAGCAAAGACACAGGAAAAAAGAAGGTGGAGTCTGAGAGATGAAAGCAGCTGCCACAGAAGCAAGATATGAGGCAATGTCACAGCCATGTAGCTATATATAAAGTAATAGAAATGAGTTAATTTAAGTGTGAAGAGCTAGTTAGTAATAAGCCTGAGCTAATAGGCTAAACAGTTTATAATTAATACTAAGCCTCAGAGTAATTATTTGGAATCTGGAAGGCCAGAGACAAACCTCCATTTGAGGCACAGTACTCTGGTTTTACTCTACTTAAGAATACTGTTTCATATGACTTTAAATCTCTGTGCTCTATTCTGTGGTGGGTGAGGCCCAGTCATTCCCAGAAGTATTCTCATGCTATTTCTCCTGCAGTCTTTTTGCAAAGCATTTGGTTTGTTTTTAAGGAAAACAATGTCTCCAGAAACTAAGATTTTAATTTCTTATAACATTGTTACTCAGGTTTTTGAGTTTTTCCAACTTTTTCATTCTGACTTTTGTTCACAGTTCTCACTATAAATAGTGCTAAAATAAAGAGTCAATACCCATGCCTGGACAGAATGCAGGATTGTCTTGAAATTCCACCATATTCATTAGTCTGTTATCTTTCAAGGTTAGTCTCTCACAAAGTTTCAGACCATGAACAAATTGAAAGTAAATAATTTGCTTCTGTGAAACATTATGAACCTTCTCAGCCTTTTACATTTCTACTGAAGTTCTACTCTCGAGTTTCTGCTGATTCTTCCACTAAGCTCTGCTTACAGTATTCTAGGGTTCTCTCCCCTGCACTGATAGTTTCCAAATTCCACTGGGTCTCCATCAAATAGGACCTTGAAACATTCTGTTCTGTAGTCACAGAAACATTCTTCTCAGTGCCAGCTTTATATTGGCTTTCTATAGTTGTGACTGGCGCCTCCAAGAAAACAAAGTAATATGCAAATTACTTATCAGTTATTTTGGCATGGGCTTTAGTTTTTTGTGGTGGAGGGGTATGATATAGGAAACTATCTGTTCTGTGATGGTAAATATTATGTTTACAGGGTAATTTATTGTGCTCAAAAGACTTGTAAACAGAAAATTGTTTTCAGTTTATTAAATCATGAGAAAATTGCTATTATCTTAAATGAACTCTATCAACTATCTTGCCCAAGATGAACTACTTCTTTGTGCAGTAGGGTTATCTTTTATTTTTTATATTATTTTTTTCTCTTGAAAAAAAAATATTTTTTTTTATTTTACATACCAATCCCAGTTTCCACTCCTTCCCCTCCTCCATTCCCTCTAACTACTCCCCACCTTATCCCCACCCACTCCTCAGAGAGGGTAAAGCACATTGCTTTTGGGAAGGTCCAAGGCCTTCCCTACTATATCTAGGCTGATATCTATCCAAAAAAGTAGGTTCCCAAAATGCCAGTACAAGTGGTAGGGATAAATCCTGGTGCCACCACCAGAGGTCTGCAAACTGCTCCAGCCATGTAATTGTCACCCACATTCAGAGGATTTAGTTTGGACCTATGCTGGTTCCATCCCTGTCTGGTTGGAGTTAATAAGCTCCATTAATGCAGGTAAACTCTTTCATTGGGTATCCCCACCATGGTCTTGTCCTCTTTGCTCAAATCCTCACTCTTCCGGCTCTTCAACTGAACTTTGAGAACTCAATAGAGCTGTCGTTTAAGACTTCTAGTTGTAAAATATTTCACTGACTCAGCTATTCTTACAAGATACTGGATCACAACTAACAGGTTAACTACTAGTTCAGCTTTTGTATTAAATGCTTGTTTGCACAGGATTAGAGGCGTCTGTCAGACATTTGTTACAAAAATTTGAAATAACTCAAACAACCAAAATTGCAACTTTGTGGTTTTTGTCTTTAAAATCCTTGGACTAACCATAGCCAGGGCCTTACCTAGAGAATTACAAGTTTCTCATTTAGTCCTTGTATGTTAAAAGGTCTGAGTCCATTTCCAGATTTGAAATATACAAAACTCAAGAATCCTTGAGCTCAAAATTCCACCAGTCTCTGGGCTTGGCTTGAAATTCCACCAATACCCACCTTGAAAACCTCTAACCTATTAAACTCTAACCCCCAAAATCCCTATATAAAGACTGTATCTTGCCCAGT